CATATACTGCGTTAGCTTAGCCAATCTCCATCTAGAAAAACACGAATTTTAAAAGGTTTTTCGCCTGCCGTCTGTCTGCAGACTTGACAAAGCATTAATTCATGGTTTTTACTAACCGGTATCAGTATGTTGTTACTTCGGCATCATTTTGAAACGTGTATTACAATTAAATCACGGTCAAATATGTCCATCTTGTTGTAGTTCTAGCCCTCTTGCCAGCGCTCCTCTCTCTAGTTTAGCATACTCAGCCCGACTCAGCCCTGTTTGTTGGCCCCGATAGAACCACAATTTTCTAGGGCCAGAAAAGAGGGGAAAAAGTGGCCCCGCGCCGTGCCGCGCCGGAACGAGGCCTAGTGGAAGCACAACCAAAAAAGGGGACGGCACGACACGGCACGCTTAAAGCGAGCTACGCGCTGCAATGGAAATGCGCCAAAGAAAGGAACGGAGCCATAAGATCCGGCTCCCTTCAAAGAGCCATAATTCCCATCACTAAGACCTATAATATATGCCTACAAATAGTAGGAGACCTTTAATGTACACATAACTTTCCACGGAAACTCAAATCAGTGTTTTCTTATTTCTCAGTGACAAGGTAATCGATATGGATCACCTGGATGAAATTATGACATTTAATTTAGTTTCTTACACCAGCAGTTTGCTGTTGTTGTGACTCCTGGTTCAGGATCAGAAGGGCTGAGGCGCAGAGCGTAACAAGGGGAGGGCTGCACCTGTCACGGATGGACCGTGAACGCACCATTCATCACTTTCATGAACCAGAAAGATCACACTGTGAACCTGCCTTGAGGCTCTCTGTCCCTCCTCTCCAGCTCTCTGACTGACGGTGTCACAATCTAATACTCTACATTTCATATTCATGTATCTGTCATCTCCACACAGACAAAACGCAGGGGAGTAAAAAGTACAATATTTGTTTCCAAAAATGTAATGGGTATGAATCAAATGAAAATACTAAAATTAAGTACAAGTCCCTCAAACTTGTACCTAAGTAAAAGTACTTTGTTACTTTCCACCATCCATGAGTTGTCAGTACTTGATGATAAAAGAGTCCTTTAATAAATAAAAAAGGGTGGAAGTGATGCCATCAAAACAGTCTCAATTGTTAACATTTTATTATTATTTAAGTATTTAAAAATAAAATATGTTCTTTCAAAGGGTGCTGAAATAAGAATTAATGTTTCGAGGGTTAAGAGTTGTGCATTTCATTAACTGTCTCTACTTCCATATCTACACATTACATTGTTTTGTTATTATTTTGACATAATAACTCAGTAATAACCCGGATTCTGATAGTTCATTATTAACTATAGCCATTAAAAATGAAACATGTTCTTGGTCATTTACTAGTGCTGGCATGAAATTCACAATGTAACAGTAATATTGTTATACTCAGGGCCGTCCCTCCCTACAGGACGATCATGCAGACTGGATGGGGCCTCACCTTGCAGATGGGGCCTCACCTTGCGGAGGGTGCCTCAACTGAGCCGAAAATGCGGCGCACCATATGCGCTTATGCGGCGCAATTAGTGTGGCACGGTTTCGCCGCTGCGAGGCTCCACTAGCACCCCCCGTCGACGCTTGCGAAACAGAGGGCCTCATCATATAACTTTGCATGGGGCCTCATGTTGGCCAGGGACGGCCCTGGTTATACTGTAACAGTACTTTAAATATGACATTTAAACAGGTGAGAAGTTAATGTACACATTCTATTCATCAGAAAACAAAAGCAGTGTTTTCTTATTTCTCAGTGACAAGGTGCTCGAAATGGATCAGCTGGATGAAATGAAGACATTTAATTTAGTTTCTAACACCAGCAGTTTGCTGTTGTTGTGACTCCTGTTTCAGGATCAGAAGGGCTGAGGCGCAGAGCGTAACAAGGGGAGGGCTGCACCTGTCACGGATGGACCGTGAACGCACCATTCATCACTTTCATGAACCAGAAAGATCACACTGTGAACCTGCCCTGAGGCTCTCTGTCCCTCCTCTCCAGCTCTCTGACTGACGGTGTCACAATCTAATACTCTACATTTCATATTAATGTACCTGTCATCTCCACACAGACAAAACAATATAGACTAAGCCTTTGTGTTTGTAGATGTATTAAACAGCTAAGTGAACTGTGCAGTTTATTGCATTGTTTTCATGCATTGATTATAATAATAAATATCCATTAAATATGTCACTTAAAGGTCGTCAGGGCCAGGGCAGTGGTCCAAACAGTACTCAGATCTGCTACAGGTAAAAGTCCTGCATTCAAAATTGTACTTAACAAAACTGTTACAAATGTGTTGTTCAACAAATTTGAGCCTTTGCCACATTTATTTGATCACCATGGAAACCTTTGATCTCTGGACACGTCGTTAGCTCAAATATAAACACCTGTGTCATGGAACACGATGATGTCATAACTCCAACTGACATGCTCAGAGCAGCAGACTTCAGATAATGGTTAATGGTCCTGCCCTCAACAGCTCTACGTCAATTATGTGGTGTCATCATATGTTGTTTCCATGGACACGGTCCGATCGTCCCCCAAACTTCGCTTGTATATCACCGGTCCATGCCTCAACAGCTTTACGCCAAATCTGAGATCTCACCATGGGCTGTTGCCATGGAAACGCATCCCTCGCCATAAAACACGATGTCGCTGTAGCTCCAATGGACACGGTCCGGTCGTCCCACAATCTTCACTTGTATATCACCTCTCCATGCCTCAACAGCTCTACGTCAAATCTGACATCTCACCATATGCCGTTTCCATGGAAACGCATCCCTCGCCATAAAACACGATGTTGTCGTAACGCCTATGAAAAGGGTCAAAACAGCACCACACTTCACATAATGGTTAACGGTCCAGCCCTTAACAGCTCTACGTCAATTATGGGGTTTCATCATATGCCGTTTCCATGGAAAGGCATCCCTCGCCATAAAAGACAATGTCGCTATAACTCCTATGAAAATGTTCAAACGGTGCTCAAACTTCACATGTGTGCTAACAGTCCAGCCGTGAAGACATCTACGGGACAGTTTTGAGATTTCTTCAAATGCCGTTGCCATGGCAACACAATGCTCGCCATGAAATACGGTTTTCTCATAACTTCAGTGGAAATGCTCCAAATGGCCCAAAACTTCACAGGTTTGGTAACGATGCAGCCATAAACGCATCTAAGCGTATTATGGGATGTCATCAAATGCCGTTGGCATGGCGACAGATCATTCACCATCAAGTTAGTTCAAAAGTTTGCAGTTCAAATATTCTGCTACTTTTCCAAGCCTTTTTACTTTCTTTTCTTCTCTCATCAGACATTCAAGCCCCCAGTGTGCATGTATCATTTCAATCTAAATTCTTCACTTTCTTCTTACACATTACATTTCAGCATAGCAGTTTAGCGTCAGCTTTCCAGCATAAAGCATTCCCACTAGCAATTTCTTGAGGAATTGCATTCTCTAGTTACATGTCAATATGCCTGTATTAGTTACTTTATATGTTATATTAGCTATAATAATCTGAATCTGTAAAGTCACTCAAGCAGCCAAATAAATGTATTTTATGCAAATATATGTGTCCCCGGTGTGTAAGGGAACTCATAAAGTGTCAGAAAATAAAACCCTCTCTCTTTTCCTCCGTACCCAAATCTCTAAAAATTGGGGTACAACGGAGCTGATCCAGATTTGCAGAAACAATGCACAACGTGTTTTGGACGTAATATGGTCTTCTTTGTTTACATTAGCAAGCATCGCTAACACTCAGAGCTAAGCTGTACTGGAGAGAGTATGTGTAAAGAAGCAGGAAATAAAAAAAGGAACTCACCTTGTGGTAAACCTGCAAGAGAAAAAGCATTTGAGCTCCATACTGTTTCAGAAAATAATCCTTGATGTGGTTTGGAACATAATATGGCATTTAATCACAACAGCGTTTAGCTGAGAATCTGGGTAAAATTCTCCTGCATGAGCTCTCCTCTCCTCTCCTCTTTTTTTTTTTTTTTTTAAAGCTACGGACCCAGAATCAGCACTTCTCTAACAGGGCTGAAACAGAGGGGTATGAGGCATGGCTAGAATGCATGATCTGTTTGGTATTTTGAGTAAAACACTTCATAGACATGTTTTTATATATCTGAGACCTATAAGTGATGTGTCGGTCGCGAACGAGACGATTCTTTTGAACGGCTCTTTGGTACGAACGAGGGGAACCGAGTCGTACTTGGTGAGAGCCGTTCTTGTTATCGTTCAATCGTTGATCCGCACTCACTGCCTGCCAAAATCCACTCGCCTTTTAAAAAGCTTGATTTTGTTCCCCAAACGTATTCTGTGAAGACCCGCCCCTACTCTGATTGGTAGGTTTCAGCACGAGGAGTGAGATGGGGTGGGTCTTAACGGAATACGCGAGGGAGAGAGAAGAAGTCATAACAAGTGGTACAGGACAGGTAGACGACGTGTTTTTCGGATGGAAAATGAGCCAAACGCGAAAACGCAGCAGCATTTGGATGCACTTCAACCAAAACCCAGGCAGTGATAAAGCGCACTATTTGTAAAGGCAAAATATCCTTTAAAGCAGGGTCAACAAATAATCTCCATCGCCACTTAAAAACACAGCATCTAATATTAGGAGTTGCGTGAATTTCATTCAAGGCAAGGCAACTTTATTTACTTAACACATACAGAGGGTAAATTCAAAGTAGTACATTCACTGACATGAATGACATGGTTCTATTTCGTATATGGCTTCGCCCTCTAAGGCTATCGCTATTGGGTAATCCCCCTGCGCACCCGCGCAGCACTGAAAACACTTGTAGTCCACGCCCGCCCGCAAGGTGGGCCCCACCCTCGGGCTCCCTTCCGGTATAAATAGGAAGGAGGCCCGACAATCTGCTCCCTCTTTTTCTTCAGCACCCCGTTACTGAAGCACTGAGACATAATATATCCGAGAAACCATGAGCAACAATTGTGTCAGAGATTGTCCCTCATGTGGATCGGGCTATATCATGAGTTATGATCAGCACACTGAATGCGAATCCTGCCTGGGGCCAGAGCACGCGTATGCGGCTCTCAGCCAGCAGGTCGCATGCCAGCACTGTGCCCGTCTCCCCTCGGCCGACAGGAAGCGTAGAGCGGACGCTCTCGCTGCTGCGACCGAGGACGACGATTCGTGCCCCTGGAGCCGACACGTGCCCCTGGAGCCGAGTGCCGGGCAGGAGTCGGACGACTCCTACCCCATCTCCCTCCACGGTTCACCGTATGGTTCTCCCCTCCCTCCTCTCCCCCGGACGGGGGAGACAGAGTCGGAGCAGGGTGTCGACTTGGCCGAGCACGCGGTCCCCTTCTCCGTCACCACGGCGCTGCCGGCGATAGGTGGCATCCTGCTGGAACTGCCGGGGATCATTTGCAAGGCGGCCGCCTGCAGAGGTCTCCCCGTTCCCCCAGCTCAGGAGAGGAGTGCTCCGGACGACATGGCCGGAGTTTTTTCGCGGGTGCAGACGGTCAGGAGTGACCCGATCTGGCCACGCTTCCCCGCCATCAGGAGGTACCAGGAGGGGGCGGCGGCGAACCCGAGGACTCTGAAGGCCCCGGTGTCCACGTTTGTTCCCCTCACCAAGGTGGAGGGTTTTACAGATGTGGGATTCCCAGCCACCCCTTCGCTGGAGCCGGGCCTGACGGCGTTTTTTGGGGTGAGGCAGGCCAACATGATCGCCGGACGGCGCCCTACGTTGGCCTCCCCCAGGGACCAGTATGTTGCCCGCCAGGCCGACCGGGTGCACCAGTGTGCCTTTCAGGCGTCGGCGGCGGCAAACAACATCGCGCTGCTGTCCAACTCGGTGGTGACGCTGGTGGAGCGGTCCACCACCTTGGCCGCTGACGAAGCGGAGGAGATCGCCAAGGCTGCCAGCACGGCGCTCACACTGTGTGCGTCTGTTGCTGTCTCCCAGGCTAGAATCGCCGCGTGGGTGACGCAAATCCAGCGCCACCTCTGGCTGCAGCAGGCGTCCGTTACAGAAACGGCCAGAAAAGTGCTGCTGGATGCTCCAATCAGCCCGGACGGGCTGTTCGGACCCCAGTTCCACGCCATGGTGGAATCCATGAAGGCGGCTGCGGAACAGGCGGACGACATCCGCCAGCACGTCAGCTGGCTCCAGCCTGCTGGGCGGCACCAACACCCGCAGCAGCCGCAGCAGCCGCAGCAGCCGCAGCAGCCGCAGCAGCCGCAGCAGCCGCAGCAGCCGCAGCGTCCAACCCGGCCACAGCGGCAGGCGGAGAGGTACCAACCGCAACCGCGGCGTCAGCGCCCGTCGGCGGCGGCAGGGGCTCCGCCCCGTGTCTCCGCTCCCCCGCCACCCCAGAGACGGAGGGGTCTCTCGGCGGTGAGCCAACGGGGAGGGAGGCACTCCCGCTCTGTATCCGCTCCACATGAGCCTCCAAGAAAACAGAGCCGCCTTTGACGTGTTGGGGGGGATAGTGAGAGTAATAAAATGGGTTCATTTTCCAACTTTTTGTCTGAGTCATCAGTATCATCAAGTGTTTCTCACATATCCTCCACTCTGTGTAAACCAGCTGTCTATAACCTATCGGTTAGTAGCCAGCAGGGTTCGTTGCGAAAAACCTGCACTTTTTAATCTATCGGATAATAAACTGCAGAGTTCGCCAACTAAGCCAGCTGCCACCAATCTGTTGATTAGTAGGCAGCAGGGCTCGCTGCAGAAACCTGCTGGTTTTAACCTATCGGTTAATAAACCGCAGAGTTCGCGGCATTCCTCTGTCCGAGATACGTCTCCTACACACGGTCATAATAAACCCATGAGCGCCGTTATAACGCCTCATGTGGTCAACACTGCATACATCTCCATTCATCCCCTGAGCGTGTACACGCCTCATGATGAGAGCCAGAGTGAAACGCAACGTGTGGAGGCTCCCTCACAGCCCTTTCGCGTCAGGCCCACCTTGGGTTGACTCACAGGCAGCGGCGGCAAGGGCTCTGACGTGGCTCGTTGCCAAGACGACCACAACACATCTCGACCATGTGCGCCCGCTCTCAGAGAATTTCTCAGAGTGGCAGCGCGTGTGTCTGATGGACAGATGGATGAGCAGGCTGATCAGCAGAGGGTACACCCTGCAGTTCGCCTCCCCCCCCCCCACAGTTCAATGGGATACAGGAAACACTCCTGTCATCCCAAGAACAGTGTCTTGCGCTCCAGGCAGAGCTGCGGGAACTCCTGTTGAAAGAGGCTATTTCCAGGGTTCCTCAAGGGGAAGAAAATCAGGGGTATTACTCCCGCTATTTTCTTGTCCCGAAAAAGACAGGGGGGATGAGACCCATCCTCGATCTGTCAGTTTTCAACAAGGTCATAATGAAAAGGCCTTTTCACATGCTGACGATCAGACAGGTGCTGGAGTGTGTTCACCAGGGGGACTGGTTCACATCGATAGACCTGAAGGATGCTTACTTCCACGTAGCCATCATCCCAAAACACAGGAAATACCTGCGTTTCTCATTCCAGGGAATACCGTACCAGTACAACCGTCTGCCGTTCGGTTATTCCCTGGCTCCTCGCACTTTTTCGAAGTGTGTAGAGACGGCGCTGCAGCCGCTTCACAGAGGAGGGATGAGAGTGCTGTTTTACCTGGACGACTTGCTATTGCTAGCTCGATCCAGAGAGGAAGTTGCTTTACAGACGGTACAGCTTGTATCACATCTGTCAAAGCTGGGTTTCATCATAAACTGGAAGAAGAGCTGCCCTCTTCCCTCCCAGAGTATTATTTACCTAGGTGTGGAATTGAACTCAGCCCGCATGAGAGCGTGACTCTCACAGCAGAGAGTGGAGGCACTGACAGCTCTTCTCCGACGCGTCACACCCCGCAGCGTGGTGACAGCCCTCTCCGTAATGCAGCTGCTTGGCATGATGGCAGCTGGTCACGTGGTGATTCCCCTGGGTCTCCTTCACATGAGGAGACTCCAGAGGTGGTTTATTCGCCTGCGCATCGACCCCGTGCGACAGAAGAGGCGCCTGGTGGCCATCCCTCCTTCCGTGGGTTCAGACTTAACCTATTGGAAAAGTCCCCACGTCCTGTCAGCGGGTGTGCCCCTGGGCAGAGTTACGTCACACATCTCGGTGTTCACAGACGCATCTCTCTCAGGGTGGGGAGGAACGTGTATGTCACAGGCAGTGGGGGGACAGTGGCCGGCTCACATGTCCCTCCACATAAACGTGCTGGAATTGCTCTCCGTACAGAGAGTAATCCAGTATTTTGCCCTGTTGCTGCGGAATCAGCATGTGTTGATTCGCACAGACAACAAAGCCGCGGCAGCCTACATCAATCGCCAGGGCGGAGTACGCTCAGCGCAGCTTTTGAACACAGCCAGGCCGCTGTTGATCTGGGCGCGCGCACACTTGCTCTCCATCAGAGCAATGTATGTTCCCGGCGAGCTGAACAGAGGGGCAGACCTCATGTCCAGAGGAGGTCCTCGCCAGGGGGACTGGAGCCTCCATCCCGAGCTGGTCTCCCAGGTATGGAGCCGGTTCGGGAGAGCAGAGGTGGATCTGTTCGCCGCACGCGGGAACGCGCAATGCGCCCTCTGGTTCTCCCTGAAAGCGCAGGACCACCCCCCCCTGGGGGTGGACGCGTTCGCACATCGACCATGGCCCAGGGGACTGTTGTACGCCTTCCCACCAGTCCCGCTGATCCCTCGGTTCCTGGACCGAGTGCAGGAGGAGCGACTGTCAGTGATCCTAATTGCCCCGGAGCGCACGGGCGCTTCCTGGTTTCCTTGCCTACAGCGTACGCTGTCAGGCAGACCGTGGGAAATTCCGTGGCGCGGGGACGCTCTCTCGCAGGTGGAGGGAGCGATCAACAGTCACCCTGTGATAGGCCAGCACTTATGGGCATGGCCCCTGAACGGGAACACTTAGAGGGGCTGGGCCTCTCTCAAGATGTTGTCCGGACCATTCAGGGAGCCAGGGCCGCGTCTACCAGAGCGTCCTACACAGCCAAGTGGACAGCGTTCCAGCGTTGGTGTGTAGAGAAAAGCCTGGACCCCATTACGTGCCCCCTGCCTCACGTGCTGTCATTCCTCCAGCTGTTGTTGGACAGGAATTTGGCTTTCAACACAATCAAGGTGTATGCTGCTGCCATATCATCTTGTCATGTGGGTTTCGGGGTCGGGACGGTGTTTAGTCACCCCCTGATGAAACGTTTTCTGCGAGGAGTACGGAGACTCAGACCTGTGTCACGCGCCTCAGTGGGATTTGGCTTTGGTGTTACGCGCACTAAGCAAAGCCCCACATGAACCTTTAGATCAGGTTCCCCTTAAGATGTTATCAGCCAAAGTAGTACTACTTTTGGCTCTAACATCAGCAAAGAGGGTGAGTGATTTGTCTGCTCTCTCTGTGGCTCCGTCATGCCTCCGGATCCAAGGAGATGGCAGTTCAGCTGTTTTACGCCCTAACCCAGCTTTTATGCCAAAGGTCATCACAAGCTCTTTTAGGTCAAGGGTGATCACCCTGGATGGCTTCTTTCCCCCTCCTCACAGGTCGGAGGAAGAAGCCACGTCTCATCTCCTCTGTCCTGTGCGCGCGCTGTCCTGCTATGTAGCACGCACAGCTGCCTTGCGCCGTTCTCAGCGCCTGTTTGTACACTACAGAGAGCGCTCGATCGGGCAGCCTCTGTCTGCACAGCGGCTGTCACACTGGCTGTGTGAGGCTGTGTCACAGGCATATGTCTCCTCTGGGATGGATCCTCCGGAGAACATTAATGCGCACTCCACCAGAGGAATTTCCTCCTCCACGGCTTTGCACGGAGGAATGTCAGTGGAAGACATTTGCACTGCTGCTTCTTGGTCTTCTCCCTGTTCATTTATTCAATTTTATTTGAGGGATGTGTCCCATTCCTCTCTGACACACCCTGTGCTGAGTGTCCTGTCAGAGTGAGTGACGTCAGGGATCCAGCTGTGCGCCTCTCTCCTGCCTCGGCACAGGGAGAATGGCCTGTTTTTCCCTCTTACGAGAGGGACGTCCCCCTTTTTTTCCCCTGACACATTTCGTACGGAATGTCTTGTCAGAGTGAGTGATGTTGGGGACCCAGCTGTGCGCTCTTCTGCCTGTCTGCACGCAGAGAGCTGCTATTCCCCTCCTTTCTGTCACTGGGCAAAGTGTGACTTTCGTCTCTACTTTCTCACAGCGGACGGGTATGTATTATTCCCAGCCTTCGTCCTCTCATGGTAAATATTCATGTTATGATATATTCCAGGGACTGTGATGCGCCATTCGCATGGCGCAATAGGCATGGGTTGTTATCTGAGCAGGTGTGTTTGTGCTTCTTGTACCGGGGCGACCCAGTGGGGCGCAGACTACATCTTGCTTCGCCCTTAACCCAATAGCGATAGCCTTAGAGGGCGAAGCCATATACGAAATAGAACTGAAGTTACCTACTGTAACTCCAGCTTCTATGAGTATTGGCGTAGCCCTCTAAGTTCTGGGCCCCACTGGCTCCACGAATAGCTGAAGAAAAGGTTTTTGTGTGGGAGCAGATTGTCGGGCCTCCTTCCTATTTATACCGGAAGGGAGCCCGAGGGTGGGGCCCACCTTGCGGGCGGGCGTGGACTACAAGTGTTTTCAGTGCTGCGCGGGTGCGCAGGGGGATTACCCAATAGCGATAGCCTTAGAGGGCTACGCCAATACTCATAGAAGCTGGAGTTACAGTAGGTAACTTCAGATATGGCGCCACCTTGTGTCATGTTTACAATGCAGATTATTGACATTAGGGCCCACAATACAGTCAATCATTATCCTGGTGATTATTTCGCAGATAAACCTAGTAACCCCGCCCCCTTTTAAAAAAACGGCTCTTTTGAACGGCTCTTTGAAAAGAACGGAGCCATAAGATCCGGCTCCCTTCAAAGAGCCATAATTCCCATCACTAAGACCTATAATATATGCCTACAAATAGTAGGAGACCTTTAATGTACACATAACTTTCCACGGAAACTCAAATCAGTGTTTTCTTATTTCTCAGTGACAAGGTGCTCGATATGGATCACCTGGATGAAATGATGACATTACATTTAGTTTCTAACACTAGCAGTTTGCTGTTGTTGTGACTCCTGGTTCAGGATCAGAAGGGCTGAGGCGCAGAGCGTAACAAGGGGAGGGCTGCACCTGTCACGGATGGACCATGAACGCACCATTCATCACTTTCATGAACCAGAAAGATCACACTGTGAACCTGCCTTGAGGCTCTCTGTCCCTCCTCTCCAGCTCTCTGACTGACGGTGTCACAATCTAATACTCTACATTTCATATTCATGTATCTGTCATCTCCACACAGACAAAACGCAGGGGAGTAAAAAGTACAATATTTGTTTCCAAAAATGTAATGGGTATGAATCAAATGAAAATACTAAAATTAAGTACAAGTCCCTCAAACTTGTACCTAAGTAAAAGTACTTTGTTACTTTCCACCATCCATGAGTTGTCAGTACTTGATGATAAAAGAGTCCTTTAATAAATAAAAAAGGGTGGAAGTGATGCCATCAAAACAGTCTCAATTGTTAACATTTTATTATTATTTAAGTATTTAAAAATAAAATATGTTCTTTCAAAGGGTGCTGAAATAAGAATTAATGTTTCGAGGGTTAAGAGTTGTGCATTTCATTAACTGTCTCTACTTCCATATCTACACATTACATTGTTTTGTTATTATTTTGACATAATAACTCAGTAATAACCCGGATTCTGATAGTTCATTATTAACTATAGCCATTAAAAATGAAACATGTTCTTGGTCATTTACTAGTGCTGGCATGAAATTCACAATGTAACAGTAATATTGTTATACTCAGGGCCGTCCCTCCCTACAGGACGATCATGCAGACTGGATGGGGCCTCACCTTGCGGATGGGGCCTCACCTTGCGGAGGGTGCCTCAACTGAGCCGAAAATGCGGCGCACCATATGCGCTTATGCGGCGCAATTAGTGTGGCACGGTTTCGCCGCTGCGAGGCTCCACTAGCACCCCCCGCCGCCCCCCCGTCAACGCTTGCGAAACAGAGGGCCTCATCATATAACTTTGCATGGGGCCTCATGTTGGCCAGGGACGGCCCTGGTTATACTGTAATGGCGCATTTCCATTGCAGCGCGTAGCTCGCTTTAAGCGTGCCGTGTCGTGCCGTCCCCTTTTTTGGTTGTGCTTCCACTAGGCCTCGTTCCGGCGCGGCACGGCGCGGGGCCACTTTTTCCCCTCTTTTCTGGCCCTAGAAAATTGTGGTTCTATCGGGGCCAACAAACAGGGCTGAGTCGGGCTGAGTATGCTAAACTAGAGAGAGGAGCGCTGGCAAGAGGGCTAGAACTACAACAAGATGGACATATTTGACCGTGATTTAATTGTAATACACGTTTCAAAATGATGCCGAAGTAACAACATACTGATACCGGTTAGTAAAAACCATGAATTAATGCTTTGTCAAGTCTGCAGACAGACGGCAGGCGAAAAACCTTTTAAAATTCGTGTTTTTCTAGATGGAGATTGGCTAAGCTAACGCAGTATATGCCCCGACCGTCCACACTCACAACAACGGCCTATACAGACATAAATTAAGCAGCGACTGTATTCACCATGACACAGGCAGTCTGTGGTGTGTACTTGTTTAACTTTTGTCGAGTTTCTGAACATATATAAGGAGCTGTGAGCTCTGAGTGCTCACAGCTAACGGCTGTGTTGTGTTTCTGGATTTCTCATTGAAGATGACGTCACGGCTCCGCCTACACTGCGTTACTACCCAGTTCCTAAACTGTAATGGAAGCGCAGCATGAAGTGAGTCGGCCCTGTTAAGGCCCAACGCGGCCAAGCCGTACCGAGCCGTACCGAGTGTGGCCGAGGCCGACCGTGTAGTGGAAATGCGCCATAACAGTACTTTAAATATGACATTTAAACAGGTGAGAAGTTAATGTACACATTCTATTCATCAGAAAACAAAAGCAGTGTTTTCTTATTTCTCAGTGACAAGGTGCTCGAAATGGATCAGCTGGATGAAATGAAGACATTTAATTTAGTTTCTAACACCAGCAGTTTGCTGTTGTTGTGACTCCTGTTTCAGGATCAGAAGGCCTGAGGCGCTAGAGATGGGCGAGTCCTGATTCATCCGGATCATTAACCCGGATCCTAGAAATGAGCTGGTCGTGACGAGTCTCCCCTCTCCATTAACCCGAGTCCTTGAGTCCCACACTTGGTGTGACGTACAAATTAAAACTATAAATTGCGTCACTCGCTACTCTCTTTATAACATGTAAAATCACATTACAACGTACCCCAGTCCATCTGCCTACCCTTTAGCAAGTATACAGTCACAGGATAGCTGCCTTCCAGAAGTTATCGTTTGGCTCAGGGGAGGGGACGCGGATCAGTGAAACTTCCTGCAGACTCGTGGGGACTCAGAGGAGCCGACGGCTCCTAACCGTAATAGCATAGCAGATCCAGCAATCCATACTCGTCATGTGCACGAGCATAGCCCCTCCTCCAGCACCCGGCTCCCACGCTATCAACAGCAGACTCGCAGTCAACAGCAGACTCGCAGACTCGCAGATTCGCAGATTCGCAAATCCTGACTCGCTGCAACACACAGCAGAGCAGACTCGTGCGGACTCGGAGCCGTAACCATATAGCAGCAGATCCAGAGATCCAGCAGACTCGTCGTCATGTACGAGTCAACAGCAGACTCAGATTCGCAAATCCTGACTCACTGTGCGCAACACACAGCAGAGCAGACTCGTGCGGACTCGGAGCCGTATATAGCAGCAGATCAGATCCAGCAGACTCGTCCTCATGCACGAGTCAACAGCAGACTCAGATTTGCCAAATCGCAAAATAACCCTTTTTTTTGTGATCAACATTTTTTATTAAAGCAAAATACACTGTGT